TTTGTTTAGAAACAGAAAGGTCGGCATGCTATGCAATTACTAGGTTACAATATTAACTCTCAGGAACAGGTACTACTTGCACTATCCTAATACTCTAGGTTTTTTCCGACAGGGTGTATGAACCTGCTTAACTTTAGGCAATATGTGCTGTCATATTCGCCACATCAGTGGGATTCCTCAGGGTGCAGTGTGTCTTTAGGATGGATTACTGACTCCCTGCCCTGCCCCCCTAAGATAAAGGAGATTTCTCAGGGCATCAGTGTTGCTTTGTATGAACAAGTGGCAAAAATCTGCCTGCAGATTTAAAAGATCCACTAAGACTGCAGTATATGTACTTGTAACTCTCCAGTTACCTCTTCAGAAGAGGCCTGTACTTAGTGTAAATTTTACCTTTCGTCCAACCTGTTTCTCTTATACATTGAGCCTGCAAACATTTACTACGGCATTTAATGGTGAAAAGTCCCCCCCAGCATGATTCTCTGCTGCTTTGAACTATGGCTGTTATAAATAGGAGCAAAGTGGGCATAAACACCAGTGCTTTGATGGGGTAATATTTGAAAGTCCACATTCTGCAGGTAAAAAGGACTGCAGGAGGTGCTGAAAAATCAATGCACTGCTTGAGAAAGTAAGTATTCCCACTTGATGATATCAGCAGAATTGGCCTTTCCTGGCTAACACACATGCGTGACAGAACGAGGCCCTCCAACTTGTCTTTCAAGACAAAATGTATTGGGTCCTAGTCACAGGAAGAATAGTTCAGATAAGATGGTAGGAAAAACTTTCTAGGGTTAGTGAAGCTTGGAAGGGATTGCTTGGTGAGATCATGGGGTGTTCATCCTTGGGAAATTCTCAGAATGAGCTGGACCCACGTCTGCTCAAGTAGGGGATGGGTTGGGGCCCTGCAAGGTCCCTCTCAGCTGACACACTGCAGTGATGACATGAAGTTGAAACAGTCATCAAGGCATTGAGTAATGGGACACATTGGGGCCTGTAGAAATCCTGGAGGCAGGGTGATGTCTAATGCATTTCTATGAGTAAACATGCAGATGCTAGTCTCTGAAGAACGCCTATTCTGCATCACTGTAATTCCCTGCCTATCTGCCCAAGCCCTTGCTAGTTTAGTCAGATTTGGGGGGGTCTGGCAGCAAAGGTGGTGTGCAGCAGTGCTTGGCCACCAGCAGATGGAGCCAGCATGAGGCCAGGGTAAACTATTTCTATGGCATTCATGCTCCAGAATTAAACATCTGGGTGCAAAAGCAAAAGAAGAGCTGGGAAACCAGGGCCTGAGGAGGGAGGTTTCTCAGATGCATCAGTTTCCAGCTGAAACTAGCAGCTGTTTAATTTCTATTCGACATGATAGCGTGACCAAAGCTTGGGGTTAATCTCATACAGTGGCACCAAGGTCCTGGCAAACAGCAAGGCGTTTGGGAGAAACCTGTGGAGAAGATAGTAACGAGCACGGCTAATGAGCAGAGAGGAAATTAAGCATGCGCGAAGGCACAGCATTCTTCTGCAGACAAAAAGCAACGTCTCTTCACTTACAGATCAGATGCGATTCTAGGTTGAGGTGGTAACAGATTATTTTCCTCCATATTGTATTATCAGTAGGCTTGACCATTATTCTTGGTCATCAGTACTGCCTTTACAGTGGTAAGTAGCTCTAGCCGTGGTCCAAACTCCACGGTGCTAAGTAATGTGCAAATATGGCGCAGGGTGGCTCTTGCCCCAAGGAGTTCCCAGTCTGGTACAGAAGGAGCAAAGTGGCAGATTAGTATCTAAGAGAATACTAGGCTTTGTGTATGTCTGCTGAAAACTAACACGCTCATTTCATGCATGCTGTTGAGCAGCCGTATTTTGGGGTGTGCGTCATGCCTCCGTTGTTCTCCAGTTACTAGTGGAGCTTGGGGAGGGAGAGAGGGCTCTTCCAATGCAGAGAGAATCTGACGACGACTCCCTTAGAAATAGGCACGTGTCAGAACTTGAAGTAATAATTTGGGGAGTCTGAGAGCTTCTGTTCTCTGCCCTTCCAGGCTTCTCGAGTGACCTTGGGCAAACCAGACTCTTCACCACCAAGCAGAAGCCACGGCTTTTGGAGAGGAGACAGGCCTGACAGAGACACAGGAACTTTGTTATTAAAAATAAGCACATGGAGGAGAAAACAGAGAGAGCTATCTTCCCAGAGACATACCTCCCTGGAACGCACGCTCTGGACCTTCCTTCTCAGGTAGGCACCAATCACCATTGTCTGCCCTATGGGCTGGGGATGCTCTTTCTCTTCTGTATGGCAGGGCTGCAGGGAAAGTAGGGTGGTACTAGACATCAGCATGTGGGACCAGAGAACTTTCTCAGATATGCAGAAAGAGGAAACAGCAAGTCCTCGACATCCTAAGGGCTGGTGCCATTACCACCAGGCAGCTCTTGTTGCAATGTACCTGTTCCCTCTTGAAACATGTTTGTCCTTCTAAAAAAGGTGCTTATTCATTGGAGCCAATCATGTTTGTAATTGAGACCAAGTAGGTATCTTCAGTCTTAACAGTATGCTTTGCCTTACCTCATCTAGCCCTGAGGATCTGAACAGCGTATTCACCTGGGACTGAGTAAGACCAGTCTCACATATACTAATATCACAAACAGGCCAGTGCCCTGCCCTCTGGATATGAAATACAGACAGGAGTCAGCAGGACTCAACAGGTCCACGTCTGAGTTTCAACTTAAACATTTTATTTTCATTTCTTTTAAGTGAATGCCCAACTGTGGATGAAATTTGACTTGATACTGTTTTTATTTCTCCTACTGGACCCAGAAAAATCGTGCTAAAGGGCTGATTATTTTACTTAGCTCCTTTGAGAGCTTTGGGCCAAATTTTCTACAGTATTCCAGTGCTGAGAGATGCAAACAGTGAAAAACTCAGTGTATGAGTGCATCTTTCAATTCTGACAAGCTGTCGGAAGAGGGTTATGCTGCACAGGCTGGAAGTGCCTTCAGTCTCTGAACCTCACTCTATTCCCTTGAGAGTTTCAAGGATGGCAGCTCCAGACATCCCTTTTGCTATAGTGGACACCCAGGGCACCGCTGTGGTACCTTCTAATGCTGATGAAAACCCTAAGTCTTTTCCATTCCCCTATGAGGCTGCAGGAAGTCTCTGCAGAAACAAAAATATGGGGGGGGGGTCTCCCTTTGTAGCCCATCCCTATTTCAAGGGTAATGCCTGTAAGCAGATATCAAAATGTGTTCACGTGCACAAATCCCTCCCCCGTAACTGGGATTCAGCCAGCGCCTTTGTCCCAGGGGTCTCTCAGCCTGTCCTTACATGTAAGGCAGATTCCTGCT